ATGTGAAATATCGCACGACAGTATGTGATTAGCTTTAGATATTGGTTACAGTTGTGTCCCAACACAGAAATTTTCTTTTTATACTCTCTCAACTAACTTAACTAACTTTTGGCAACCAATTCCCAAAACATGCTGAATCTGATGTTCCATTTGTCAACTCAAAACCCAACTTCTACAACATTCTTGAAGATTGGAACAGTTCCATTTTTTCCAGATTATTAACGTAAAAGACTTTTGACATTTGTCAACCTTACCTATAATTTATGTGATTTATGTCACACTTTTATTTTTCCTTCTTAATTTTCTGGACTGTGTCCCCTCTGCCAGAAACAGCCTACATTTTAGAAATTGGAGGCTTAAGGATGTTGACATTTGGCTTGTTTTCTGGCCTCCACGTGGAGCAACAACAAAGGGCTATTGACATGTTCCTTGGAAAACATCTTTTGGTCAAAACGCACCCTTACTTTTTAGGTCAAATGTCAAAATGTCCCTTAGAAAACGTTAGGATGATAAAAAGTTTAGGTTTAACTTGACGCAATGTTATTAACTACCCTTTCCATGCTAACTTTAAATAATGTTCTTTGTAATTTAAATTAATTAGGGTGACGAACACATGACACGCAGACATGGCAGCACCACAAACCTTAAGTGCAGTCCAATCTATATTTTTCTTCTTCATAAGGGGAAAAAAGGAATGGTGATGTAACTTGTGCAGAAGCAGGGACGGTTGTTACTTTCAATAAAAACTAGAACCGGGTGGACGCTAAACTGATAGGAAAGATGTACTAAAGAAAGAAAACAAAAAGGAATAGTGTCCGTAAATTGTGCTAAAATAGAGTTGGTTATAATTTCTGATAATAAATAGAATTCAATGGACTACGGTCTAGTGATATTCCTCTTTACTTGGAAGTGAGAGGTCTTAGGTTTGAATCTCGTGGATAACGAATCCGATACCAAATTAGGCTGCTAATTGTGTGGCTTTGCCAAACTCCTCATTTCATTAGTGTAAAAATATCAATCTACTCAAAAAAAAAAAAAAAAAAAACTCCATGGGCATTAAACAAACAATAAAAATAAGGTTGTGCTATTCACACTTTTTTTTTTTAACCTCTACCTCTTACATATCCTTATTTGTCCATTGATCTTTATAAATTCATTCGATTCGACGACCAGAAATGAAGGGAGGTGTATGAGAAGAAAAATGAGCGTGTAGATAACACCACTCTAAAAATACATAATGTAACTTTTAATAAAAAAAAAACTGCATGGACACTAAACAGAAAAAGAGATGCAATAAGCCAAGATATATATACAATTTATTGTATATATAGTGTGTATCCCTTCAGATTTAATTTTATTGGAAACTTGTAACCAATTTATTGTAAATACTTTCCTAGATTTTAAAGAATCTAGGTAATTACTTTTGAAAAATGCTAAGGAGACTCTCTATAAAATTGGACTCTTCATGGACTCTATACGACCTCATATTTTTTTCACAGTATTTTATAATGTTGGTATGAGAATTGACTTTAAACTGTGAAATGACACATTATATGTCATTATATAAGTGAGGGAAGTTTTATTTTTAAGTTGTTAATATTTTAAACAAGTATCTGATCATTTGTATAGTAACACATGATGTACCGTCTCATGTCTGAACACAATGAAATTCTCTCCATAGAGAGCCTCACTTTCAGAGATTCTCCTTAGTGTTTCTTTTTATTTTTCATTTTTTAATGGTTTCATGGTTAACTTCAAAATGTGAACAATCGAAAGATTCGGCAGCCCCGGACTTGTTCATCTCTTCCTTTGTCCATGGCCGCCATACAATCCGTTAGATTTGCTACCTGATATTTTTTACCCTTTTTGGTTTTTTCTTTTGTGTTTACTTCGTTGTTTTTTGTCTTAAATCTTCTTCACTGGTGTGTTCTTGCTAATTTGTGCTTTCTCAGATGTCAAATCAGCCGTTAACCCAACAAAGTTGCTAACTTCTTAATACTAACTAACCCAACAAAGTTGATAACTGCTTAATGTTAATTATTAATCTTGATGTTTTCGGAAAATTTGAACGTAGGATCGTAAACGGTTATTCGGCGCCCATGACATCTCTCAAATGTCTTACATGGCTTTTAAGAAGCTTATGGTGCAGAAAAAGGTATTTTAGTCAAAATGATTATAAGATTGATATAATTTTTCATTTTGGTCATTGAAATTTAAAATTGATAGAAGTTGTCTTAGAATTTATTCAACATTAATTATTTTAGTAATTCTGTGAAAAATCTTTATTAAATAACCAAAATGATAAAAATACCCTCAGCTTAATAAACAATGAGTCAAAATGATTTGATAAAAATTGAGGGTATTTTTGTCATTTTTCCTCATTTGATGAAGATTTTTCACGAAAATATCAAAATGATTTAAGGTGGACAAACTTAAGGACTAGTTCTATCCATTTTAAATCTCAGAGATCAAAGTAAAGAGTTATGTCAATCTTATGAACCATTTTAGCTAAAAAAACTGCTACAAAATGCCACAAAAATATAGTCTCTTTATACAGAGCTTTAAAAAACTGATTAAAATTGAGACTTAGTTCACAACTTTTGTTTAAAAACACATGATTATATAATAATATGACATTAAAAAATCAAATTACACTTATCTTGTAATTAAATATGTGCTAGAGTGGGCTGGACATGCTTCCTTGTAGGGGTGGCTTTGTAAAAATCGACCTTCTTAACGTTTTTTTCATGAATGATTAGCCTAGTAGGGTTAATTTATTGTGAGGTTATTTACCCAAGGCAATGTAAATTTTGACCTTATATGGCCATGAAAGTGACATAAAACGCGTTGTTCTACAAGTCACATCCAAGATAAAAAAAATTAAGAATGTTTGCCCCTTAATTTTTGTCCCATCATAAGAAAGCTAGTGGCTTTAGCTTTAGGAGAGAATCTAGATCCATTGTGTTGGTTTTGATTGGGATAGGAAGAGCAAATTGGAACTATCACGAAATTATTATTTAGAAATTAATGATCTTTTAGAAATACTTTTAAAATAACTGAAAGTACTTTTAAAAAAAAATGATTTTAAATTCTAAAAATACTTAAAGTGCTTCTAATAAAAACTGATGCTTCTTGTAGGAAGCACTACAAGTACTTTTCTAAGATTCACTTGTATTTTTACTAAGGATTGATTCTAAAAATATTTTACCAAAAACATTTTTAGTCATTTTAAAAATATTTCCAAATGAGTCTTCAGTGTCGTTATTTCATGAAAAAGGTCTGGTAAGAAGACCATCAATTTAAACCATATTTTGTAAATCATATGACGTGATTGTTGAAGATTGAATTATTATTTAAATGTTAATTAATGTGCTTATTTTTTATTTGTAACACATCACATCGTTTATGGTCTAAAAAATGGTTTACCTAACATTACTCTTCATGAAAATGTCATTGTCACTTACATTATTAGTGTTAGTATTATTATTTTTATACGAGTGAAATTGTGGGATAGAGAACTCAAAATGAGAACTGGATAAGCGATCTTGCGTGCAAGGATGAATTCTTTCAATCACTTGTGCTGCAATCCCCTTGTATTAAGGTAATCTTATTGTATATAATTTCAAATGTGACATGTTGTTTGATAATCATTTCGTTTTTAGTTTCTTTTTTTTCTCTTTTTTTTGTTAGAAATAAAAGGAAATGCAACGAGGGAATGAAGGGTGAACAAGGATAGCAGAACGGTGGTGACAAGATGTAGAAAAATGTACATAGAATGGTACAAAACATAAAAACTAAAAACAATTTTAAGTAGATTTTCATTTCTAGTTTTATATTTTCATTTCGTATGTCATTTTGTGCATTTCTCCGTCTTCTCTCCTACCAGACTCCCTCTATATCCTTGATTAATCCATCATTTCATGATTTCGTCTAGGAAAGTGTGGAGTTTTAAATCCGGAACGGATGGGTAAAAACTCAACACCTTATCCGTCAGGATATTGGATCACATGCTTCCGGTGGATATTCATTCCTCTGGTATATGAACTTAAATAAACCCCTAGTTGCCTTAGATGACTTTCAATAAGGGTGGTGATCAATTTGGTGGTAATTTTTTCTAAGCTGGTTTAATTAATATAATTATCCTGTACTGATAAGGATATTCTGCCCCTAATTGTAATTAGCTCACTAAACATATGTTGAACTAATTAGGTTCCATTTGTTGTCCATCTTCGGCATCATTTGATTAATTGCTTTGCTCAATGCTGATGCACTTAGATATTCAATACAAGGGTACAATTAGTCCCTTTCTTTACTTCTATGTTTTTATCTCCTTGGTGCTAAAACGTAACTCACTAATTTTATAAAATATAGTTTATTAAACATATAAAATACATGTAAAAGAAGATACGACTAGTTCAAGCTCACAATTCCATATAATTAATTTTGTGATATATATTTTTTAAATAACAACAGTCTTCTCGTCCTTCTCGAAGGAGGAAAGTTTTATTTTTAACTAATGTGACATTGTTTCACCAGGTCATAAGATAATCGGGATAATTCATTCTTTTGATCATCATCGAAGAATTATTTCTAAAAAATTTATTTCACTTGGAGTCCGTTTAGTCAATCATATGTGTCGAACAAATCAACAGTTATAATAACAAGTAACGTCCTTATGATAAATCGGTAATTTGTTTGATACACACAAACGACTAAGCAATCTCTTAATTAAATGAGTTTTTTCTAGAGATGATCATTGTATGATGATGATAGCCTAGAAGAGAGATCATATTGGCATCTTTGGCTTGGTCAAAATTAACAGTTGCAGGTCTCTTTCCATTAGGTTAGTGTTTATAGCCCGAGATTAATAAGAACAAAGAAATAAAAACAAATGCTATAAGACCATTTCATATTCAATCCTACGAAAAAATCTTCCTATTCCCCACATATAAATATGCACATTAGCATCAAAGCCTCCAACTTCAACTAAATCAATCACTTGCAAGTACAAAACATAAACTCAAAAGAACTTAATAGCTAGTAGCTAGAAATGGCAAGGAAGAGAAAAGTTAGTGAGGGAGTGGAAGACAACAACGCTACTTCAAGTGAGGGAACCATGGGTTGGGATGAGATGGTGAATGAAGCTTCCGCTGTTGCCGAGCTAGGCGGAGCACGTAGGGCGCGAAAGCGCTTTGTTGGTGTCCGGCAAAGACCCTCTGGAAGATGGGTGGCCGAGATCAAGGATACCATTCAAAAAATTAGGGTTTGGCTAGGCACCTTTGACACTGCTGAGGAAGCAGCTAGGGCTTACGATGAGGCTGCCTGCTTGCTTCGCGGTGCCAACACCCGAACCAACTTCTGGCCTTGCTCCCATTCGCCGTCTTCAACCCCGGCGCTCCCCTCGAAGATCACAAACCTCCTCCTCCAGAGGCTGAAAGCAAGAAACAACGCCAACTCTTGCTCTCCTCCTTCTTCTGCTCCTCTCCCTATCATCAACCACCAACACGATCACAATCTTCACGAACAAGCAGCAAAAACCGAATTCTCTGAAACATACACGGATTTCCTCAACGATCCCGAAGATTACTACATCACAAGCAGCAACAATCATGACATCATCACTGATCATATCAGTGCAAGCAGCATTGACTACATGACATCGAGCTTAGAGTCATGCTTAACTAACAAGGAAACTGATCACATAGAGTACGGTAACTTGAGTGAATTGGTGCAACAGACTTACAGCTGCGGAGATGCAAATTTCGTAGCAGAAGGATCGGAGGAAGATGTTGATCCAGAACAAGAACAAGAAGAGGAAATGAACGGAGATCAAGTTGGAGTTATAGACTTCCAGTTTGTCGATGATATCGGAGCATCCAACTCAAACTGCTACTCTCCATCGCCTTTCGAGATTGCTGAGGAGATAGAGGAGCCGGTTCTGGAGGCTGAGAGCTACACCGACGAGCCTTCGATGCTGAGAGCCGCCATGAAGAGAATGAAGTACGAGAGGAAGTTTTCGGCTTCGCTCTACGCCTTCAATGGGATTCCCGAGTGTTTGAAGTTAAGAATCGGATCGGTGAATGGGAATGGGAAAGGTAGAGGGGTGTCCGAGTGTTTGAGCAACCTTCAGAGAGCGTGCAGTAACAAGAAAGAAGAGGAGGTTGTTGTTGCTGTGGCGGCGGCGGGGGAACACCAACGAAATGATTCGAAACAGGAGGAGCAGGGTTCGTCAATGGATGTTTCTCTGAGTAGTGATGGTGAATTGTCACTCTGGAGCTCACTTGATCTGCCGCCAATCTGCCTTTTGTCAACTAATTAGTTCTTCTTCTTTCTTATTTTTTTACCAAATTCATGCTCTAATTTGATTCCACATATCAATCTGGAATTCCATTCTTTGCAATATTTTCTGATATTCTAATATATTTAAAAGAAATAGTGAATTTTATGTAATTCGAACCTTGGGTTCAAACTTCGACCCGATGAAGTAATAATAAAGGAATATGTTTTCCTCAAATCATTTTTTTTCCTTCTGTGTTCATTACCTTTGTCTTGTTTTTGCCCCTTAATTCCTTTTTTATTTATTTTAATTCCTACGTGTAGGAGTACAGAAATCATTTCCTATGATTCTTTAAAAAAATATAACAAATAAATAAATTAGTAGGTTTTATTGTATATTTGATTCAATAATTTGGAAAATTTGAGGTTTTGTTTCGTGCGTATTGGACATAAGCCAAGGGAAGCACATGTTAGACAAACACAGCCCAAAACTAATAATTTGCAAGGTCCCTTTAAAATTATAGCAATTCAGAGAGTTGATGAAATATCCCGTTAGAGCGGTTATTGACCAATTATAATTAGATATCGAACTTTTCATCTATATGTCGAAGCTGACAGTAGATTAACACAAACGCGGTGCAAAGTGATTGTGCTTTTGCACACCACAAGAGATAATAACAAGCAGGCAAAACTTGAAGTAGACGTTTCAACTGATTTGATATTGATGATGGTAAATCATTTACGACTACAACAGACCCTTATCCTCAGTTTGATGTCAAGTTTTCTGTTGGCTCCAAGTACTCTATATCTCTACTTTAAGTTTCTTTCCAAGTCTTCTCGAGCCTTCCCATGTCTTCATCTACCCTTTTTGACTTGAGTCTCTGTCTCTTATCGTATTTTCTAACCGGAGCATCTACAGGTATTCGTTTCATAAATAAATTACAGTACTTTAAAATACACTTGAATTGTATGGAGGGATTGCATCCTCTCCTGGGCACAAGCTCAGGATCTTGCTGACCAGCCCACGTGATTCGTTGAAGTTTGATCCATCGGCTACAATTATTATAACTTTTAGAGGGACCCTTTGTTTATAACCGTTGAATCAAAATCCAACCGTTCACATGAGCTGGTCAACAAGATCCTGAGCTTGTGCTCAGGAGAGGATCCAATTCCTTGTAAGGATATGTCAAATCATTTCTCCAAAGGAGGTTAGTTCTTTCTTTCATACCAATTTGTGTTCGTAAAGAGGAGAATTCAGGACAGACCCACTTCATATACCAAACTAGAAATGACTCGGCAAAGGCCAGTGTTGAATACTGGCTCAATAACAACACGATTACCCATATAAAACTGGGGAATGCGACGGAAATAAGTACAGCAGCACAAACTGAAGGGCAGATTATATATACACGTTGAAAAGGTTTTTTCACGAGCATCACGATAGATTCACAGAGGACTTGTTGAAGGCCTAGCTCTCTACCTCTAAAGTACACGAAGTTGGGCAAGGAAAGCAGCACAAAGATCCAAGAAGAGAAACTGCGGACCCTGAACCCTCTGAAGATCAAGCAGGTACTTCTCCTCCCGAGTTTTGAAAAGCTGTTAATACCCAAAACAGCGGCAAAATATGTCAGGATTATGTTCTGGGCAGATGCTCGAGCAGTGAACTCCTTTAATACCAAAGACAATAGTAGATTGATGACTGAATGGAACTAGAAAAGTATGGGATTAGGGAGCGATCTAACAAAAACTTACCTGCACTTCAAACTTGACCACATTTGGCATCTTCATAGCACCATCATTTTCGATGATGCTGGACTCATCTCCAAAATAATGGTTACCGTGCACAGGGTTGTCGATCATGCCTTCGTTTTGACCTGTATTGTCAAAAACCCACCTACACTTCATGTTGTAGTGTCCTATCTTCTTCCAACAAACCCGCAATTCTTGTAAAGCTTTAAGGACTTCTGTCATTATTTCACGAGGATGTGCTCGAGACTGGTAATAAAAGGCAGCAATAGATCAACAATAATCATATCAAAGTTTGAAGTTCACTCCATTGAACGTCTAGAAGAGTTGCTCCCAAATAATAATACTTGGCCAAAAGTCAAAGAAATTTAACCTGAAGTCCAAGAGCCCATTTCCTTTCAACAGGGAACTGTGGTTTAAAACCCATTCCTTGATACTCCATATATCCAGGAAGGCGGTGCCCAACAGGTGAAGCAGCAGTCTCACTTTGCTGCATACGATTGAAACCACAATCCTGGACCACATCAATAAAAATGAAACACGAATTGTGCCAAATCTTGACAGAAACTGAACAGCAGAGAAGAATATATGATGGGCTTGATAAAAACAATTCAAGCTTTTGAATAAATTTGACCCAATCATGTTACGTAAATCTTGGCCTAAATTATGTTCGTTCACAAATGTATCATATTCCTGTATCAAATGCTGTAAAAGTTCCCCCTAACTTCTTTCTTCTTTCACGTTGTTAGATTATGGCCAACAGGCTTAGTCTTGGGCCTTAAAAGAGGAAATTTTAGTTTCTAACCAAGCTGTTGGTATAATATCAAAAACGGAGGACACATACCACAGTCTCCTGAAACTCAGCTCCAAGATAGCCACTGGATACACGGAAACGGTTGTCCAATAACAAATAGTATGCAACTGTTCCCTGAAACATGATGCAGATAGTAAGTCTCAGTTGGAAAATCAAGAGGATGAGTTCCTAAGGTACAAACCTCATTCTGTACTCTACTACGTAGAGACTCAACCAGATGGTTCCTGTCAAATCCCATCTTAACTACCTCCTGAAGAATTTCCTCATCAATCTGCATAAAGAAAGGTGACACTTAAGAACGTAAACTATGGAGTACAGTGAGCAAGGATCAGCTACGTGTTAACTACTTGTTACATTAAACTATGGACCAAAAAACCGAAATATTTCACAATTCCATTTAAACAATGTGGCAAATATCACTTGGCACATCTTGAAGAACAAACCAGAGCATTTATTATAACTGCAATTTACAAAAGTAAACAGAAGATATAAATAAACCTTTTTTGCTTGTTGCATGGTGTCTGGTGGAGGAACAGCTAAATAACGAGGAAGATGAGCCTGGAACCATGCATGATGTCGAATCTCAGGAATGGTCATTCGCTTCATTGGATCAACTACAAGCATTCTTGGAATCAAGTCTCTTGCACCAGGTGACAAATGACTAGGAAGAGTGTATATCCCACCCTGAAGACAAAATGACATAGGCTTAGGTCAGATAACTAATAATCAGCATGCATATAACTATTTGATTCATGCTATGCTATAGCTTGTTTAATATAGATAGTGAATGGAAAAATTGACTGTCAGTGGACACAAAAACCACAACAGAATTTGATCTTAATATAATTCGAAAACAAAAGGAAAATATATCCGATGAAAACTGAAAAATCAATTTTATAGCAAACAAAAGAACCAGATCTAGCAATACCTTTATTTTCTTAAACAAGTTTGGAATATTTTCATCATCAAATGGAAGGGTGCCACAAAGAAGAGCATATAGTATAACACCACAACTCCACACATCCACTTCAGGCCCAGCGTACAGCTTGCCAGATATAACCTATGAAAGATGAAACAGATGTATCATTGGAAAGAGAATTCAAGCCAAGATACAAAAATAATGTATGCAAACTACACCTAACTGCAATCTTTTTACCTCTGGAGCAGCATAATTCGGGCTGCCGCAACTTGTCTTGAGAAAATGGCCATCACGCATTATGTTGCTCAGACCAAAATCAGCAATTTTCACATTGCATTTGGAATCCAGAAGCAAATTTTCGGGCTTTAAATCTCTATGAACAACCATATTCCTGTGACAATACTCTACGCCAGATATTATCTGCCAAAAAAAATATTAACTCATATAAGAAGCAACACAATAGTAAAATAAATACGACAAGACAATTGACAAATCACCTGTTGAAAAAAGTTACGAGCTTCATCTTCCTGCAGCCTACCCTTCTCTACTATATAATCAAAGAGCTCCCCAGACTTCACATACTCCATCACGACATAAATGTCGGATGGTGTTTCAATGACCTCATAGAGTCGTATAATGTGAGGATGCATAAACAACCTCAATATTTTGATTTCTCTTCTCACTGCATCAAATTTAAGGGGAAAAGGGAAAGATAATACAACCAAGTCCAAAAGTTTAATATTCTGAATTCAGGACAGAACTCTATATTAGATAAGACAAGTAATCAAATTCATCCATCGATTTACAAAGACAGAGGGCTGACCTTTCTCTTCCATTTCCATGTTCTTTATTTTGCGGCGGTTAAGGATCTTGATAGCAACTTTATGTCCAGTTAATGCATGCTCTGCAATTTTAACCTTTCCAAAAGAACCAATACCAAGAGTCTTTCCGAGCTTGTAATTTGGTAAATAAGTATCTGCACTGCTACCACCACGGCCAACAGGTCCATCCATTTTCCTAATCTAAACACACAATCGAATATTCAGATAAATGTACAAGAGATAACACAAGGTTACATTCTCATTAGGAGTGTTAATATATAGTCTATACCAACAAAATATCATGCAAGAAGATATCTCTCAGCCATAGACATCCTCATGGTCATGGTTAGTGGGGAGAGACAATAGCGAATTTATGTAATAAGAGATGCACCACCATATAATGACAGTTAAGGTCATATAGTAATGTCCATATATACTTTTGAAAGATACCTCTTAGTCATTGATCAAATCAAAAATATCGAATATACCCGCTTGGAATTTAAAAAAGTAAGAATAAATTTAAGACCTGAGAATTTTATGATACATATCCTCACTTTCAACTGGCTCCTATTTTATTCTTAGTTTAATTGTCCCAACTAATCGCCCCTGGTTCCATATTTCACACCCTTCTCTCTTTCTACTCCGGCTCTCTACTCTAGTTCTTCAAGTGTACATATAGAATTACTCAAACCCCACCAGAATGGGAAAAGCAAGGCATCACACTTGATTTCACATACTTCATAACAAACATTTAATCTATAAGTTTGTAAGTGCAGATGAAATTCACACTCCAGCGTTCTCGTATAGTCAAAGAAAGGATAAAAGTAGCAACTTTGATTGGAGCTGTAATTTCACACACATAAACAACATAAAAAGTTTGAATTTTTCCGTTACTCCAACACACCACAAGAGCAAAAAGCTATCTATCTTAGAATTGCCCTCCCATCGCCGATTTCGATACATCAGTCATGTAAAAATCCAGAAACACAGTAACTTCGAGGAATATAAGCAACAACAGGGGAAAAAAAAGGAAATTGAAAAACTCCCACTTTCAAATTAGAAACAGAAACCCATTTTCGGCACAAATCAATCAGTAAAACCTTCAGTCAGAATAAATAATAATAATTCCCAATTTTTACAAATTTTGTAACATTTTCCCCCAATTTTTCCAATGGTTGCCTAATTCCAAAGAAACCCAACAAATCCAGCAGCAACAGATCTCAGAAACCACCAATAAAAACACAGAATTGGAAAATTATACAAACAATCAAAGATTCATGCAATTCAACACAAACACATAATACAGAAAACAAGAGAGAGAGTTACAGAAAATTAAACCCGAAATTGAAGTCGCAAATACGCAAGGCGAAATGGGTCTCTTCGAATTGGATTGAGGAAATTGCAGCCTCAAAGACCCAGAAACTCGAAAAAAGGGATTACCTGTTCGTCTTTATTCTTTCTCGCTTCGCTTCCCGACTTTCACTCACTACGCCACCATCAACATCAACTCGTATTAATCTAATTTACTAATCTTAATTAGTTCCTCCTCAAATGACTGATTCGCCCATCGAAGTTCGGTGAAACGACGGTGAAAGTCACTTTCCGAGGGGGCAAACTGGGGATTTCATATGATTGTTCTTGGAGTTTCATGTATTTGGTCTTCGTTGGATTTTCAACTGTTTTTACAAATTTTTCTGCCAACTATCTTGACATGAATCGAAGTTTTAAGTTTGACCGAAATAACAATTTTTTTAGTTCTTAAAAATTTAGTAAGTTATTAATTAATAGAAGATAGCCGAAATGTTTACTTAAGACAAGAAATGTTGTGAATCGAATCAATCTAATTTATAAATTTTCAAGTGTTACACTTAATTAATTAGATATTTAGTTGATCTCATATGCATTTATTCTCTTAATAAGAAGAAAAAAGTAGATAAAATTTTATATCAAAATTTCAAAGTAATTTTTTTTTCGGCATTAACAATAGTTAAAAAATAAAAAAAATAATTTAACCAAATGTCTATTTTTTTTTTTAAAGGGGACCAGTTGGTAGTTTCACCACAACAGTCTACTCTACAGTAGGTGAAAAGACTTACAGAGACATTTCAGTCTTCTCTGATATGATTCATTAGTGCCAAGAATCCCCTAGCCACAATCGTTTAATTTGACCAAATTGATGAATTGATGAGCAATTAAAAATTTTAGGGAGCTGCAACCTATGCAAAAGTTTTAAATAAAATAAAATGTCACACTTATCACACGTTTTATTGCATAAAGAAAAAGTAAATTTTAACTTAGTGAGGATTCCTATGAACTCTATAAACTAAGGAAAGGGATCCTCTCCGGATCCCTTCCACTAAATCCTACCGATCAATAAATCTGGACTTTTGAAATTTGATCCATTTGCTAAAAAAGGGAAACCGTTTAAAAGTTATAATAACTTTTGCTGTTTGATCAAATTTCAAGGGTCCGGATTTGTTTATTGGTAGGATTTGGTGGAAGGGATCAGGAGCGGATCCCTTTCCATAAACTATAACGTTGATGATTTCTATAAAACATCATTGATTAGGATAGCAGTGATGACATCGTTGATTCTGATCTACTAAACAGACCCTCCATTTTCCAGTTCATTCACCCCTCCATAGCTCCAGGTTTCCGGCCGGCCGGCCGGCCGCACATTTCATTCACCCCAACTAGGGTGTCTCATTCTCACAGTTTCAATCAAAACATTGAAAAAATCGACATAATTTGGCTACAATAATATGAACTACAAACTTCTGCTGGATAAACAGTTTTACAGCCTACAAGCCAGAAAAGCAAATCCCAGTACAATGAACTACGTGCGTGCGCCACTGCTTCAATAGCAACAAGTCATTTAAAAAGAAGCAAATGGAAAAGAAGTTACATATGGTTCGTTCATTTGTTCTATACAATATGGATTTTACATGACTGTGCCTCTCACCGCAAGCATTATTTGGAAATTTGAAGGCAAAAGCACCCTAGTAGTCCGGAATGGAGGCAAAACGGTATCCTTTTGCACCTCTCCATGCATAATATGCAATTCGTGTCTCATAAAAGCCTGCAGGTCACAATATTTATAAAGAAATGAGTCAGTGAATCGATGACCTGAAACATGTATGAAGCATTTAGAATCAAATGAAACCAGTCAGCATATCAAAGTTCACAAAAGAATTTCAGAAAACGTCTCCAGATAGCCAATTGCCAGACTCGTAAACAGTTTACGCTTTACTCCTAAGCTCAAATAGTTACATCAAAAGAAATTCAACATTCTACCAAAGAGAGTAGAGGAAATTCAACATAAGAATTAGGGAATTGATATGAGCCTATCGATTTGAGAATCAAATGCCGTCTCCTCTAACCAAATGATTTAGTTTTCCTTATCTCTAATCGTATGGTGAGGTAATCGATAAGACAAATTTTCCAATGCTTTGAAATGATTCATTCATTCATATTAAACTCTAAAATGATTGAATTATATATATATATATATATAGCATTCAGTATATAGTCGGATCAGTCATATAACTCTAAGTTGTCACAAAAGGTACGTAAAATTAAAGTACGGAATGGAGATATCTTTAGACATACCTGGGAGGAAGGTGAGAGCCCCAAGAGCCAAAAGGCCATAGGCTTGAGCCAGCTCCCCTCCCATGTGACCGGTGAAAATGAAGTATGAAAGAAACAGAAGCAATGATCCAAGAGAAAGCAGGAAAAGAGCAAGAACAATGGATTTCCACGGGATTTTATCAAAAGACTTAGGCGTATAGTCAAACCGAGGGTCATTGGGGCTTCCATAAACATCATCATCATCCGTAGCAAGAGGACTGTAACGAACATTGCGCCTAGATGCCATCACCAAGGATGTTCTACAAGACCTGAGGATCAGAACGGAGCAGATAACTAAAACCGTCTCACAACATCTTTAAGGATAAAACGAACGGCCCACCTCCTCGGACAAGGCATATGGGAAAATGAAAAACAACCTCAAACAGCATTTTCAAGTTACAACACTGCAATTAAGGTGGCATAAAAACGTCGAAACCCATAAACCATATGACAGGAACTTGACAATGCAAGATTCTATTTTTTTTCTAAGAATTAAGAAATGCAACCAATCGAAGACTATCATATCGAAATCTAAACGACGGTATACGATAATGTATACTCCTTCGAACAAGGAAACAAAACTCTGCGTACAACAAGCGCAGGCAAACATAGAGAAACTGTTTGAAGCACAGATTCATTGGCTGAAACAAAAAATAAACAATTTGCAGAACAGAAGACAATTATGTTCAATTAGTCGTATGAAGATCAAAGTCAATTAAGGTTAATTATAATACAAAATTCAAGCACAAACACAAAAATAAATGAACCAACAAAAGTACTCATCTGAAAAAACAGGACGGAAATAGTAAAACGAAGCATTGGAGGGCCCAAATGGATCCTAAAAAGCAAACCCAGATGCTGAAATTGCAAGAATTTAACGAATCTACTAACCTGAGACTTGCTCTTTCAACCGGCGATTGAAAATTTGAAACTTTTCTGCAAATTCTACAACGAAAGATTGAAACTTTCCTCTCAGTCGGCGAGAAAAAAAAAACCCCAAAAACTTGACAGAAGGGATGGAGATCAATTAGGTTATGGTGAATCAGTAAACGGTGGGGAAGAAAATTCGAAGAAGAGGGCGGAAGGGACCCGGGATGGAGGGAAGATTTGGGTAACTGGGTTAAAGGGCTCGGGTGAGTGAGTTAGTAAATGGGCTATTGTTAAAATTCAGATAAGCCTAGCCAAGAGTCCAAGACCACACAATTTAGTGTTCTTGTTTTGTTTTTGTTTTTTCAAAAAATTAAAACACACCTTTTAAATTCCGTTTGATAAAACCATATATACATGGAAGAAATGATGGATACAAGATTGGAAGTAGGAAATAAAGAGGAAAGTGATTAAAATAATCATTTTACAGTATGATTCAAATATCGACATATTAATCAAATATTGACATATAACTTAAGGATAACGCTAGACATATCAAATTTGCAAATCAAATAACATGGTTATTAGTGATTGAATTATTACATTAGTGATTGAATTATTACTTAAGTGTTGATTAACGTGTTTATTTCCTATTGGTGACATATCATTTGGTTTGCAAATTTGGTTTAAAATTTTGGTCTCCTAGCATTACCCATAGATCAAAAGGCAACTAGCAATTAGTAAAATAAGTTGTAGACATCTAGCTCTTATGACATCTCTAGAGATTATCAATTTTGTAAGAGTGACCAGTTTAGTAGAGATTGATGCCAACTTATGATAGGTAAAATTAGGTTGGTCATCTTGTTACCATTGATTTTCCTAAACCTAAATCCTAAACCATTTAGAACACACAGAATGCAACTAGCTAGTTTAGGGCAGCTTAACCAAAAAATAAAAAAATGCAACTAGGTATATAGCTTTCCTATGAGTTGACTCTATCAAAATGTATATAAAATCGTATATAATTGGCTATGCATGTCCGTATTTGAACCCTGGAAAAGGAGGGAGATTAAATTAGTAGCCATGAGAGTTACAATGGGGAATTATAATAGAGAAAGAAACGGCAAAAGAAAGAACTGGGAAGATCATCTTTAACACACATGAAGTTTCCCAGAAATGTCTTGAACAAACTGGAAGATATATATTTCGATATAGTCATTCCAATTAGAATGAAAGGGGCATGTTTAATATATTAAAAGCTTCATCGTTTTAGGATGCTGGCTTTATATTTATAGACATACATATTATATAATGCAGCATAATGCAGGAGACATGCATGTGCAGGTGATGATCTTAGATAAATAAACCCACATTATTGCATTATTAAAAAAAGATGCTAATTAATTGTGCATGTATGTATCCAACTTCTTTTTCTCTGCAATATGCTTGTGCATTTGCGTGCCGGGCACGTGCTTTCTGCACTTTCTTGTGAACGTGCATGCATGTCATCGCTACTTCCTTCGTCTGTTATTTACTTTATTGCTTAGAGAGCCACTTCTTTAAATTATATTAGTGATTGATAGGAGAGGTTTAAGGTTCATGTCGTTTTGCCTGTAATGTTGTTTCTCGTCCTAAACCCTAATCTGTTTCAAGTTTCAAGACCACAACCTGGGAGGATTTTGCAGCACTTATATATGGACTAAATTTTATCGTAAACTGTATTGTTTTTCGTTAAGATTTAACTTATATATGATCAAATATTAAACTGCAAATATCTCTAAATATCTTCAAATTAGATCTTGTCTAATACAAAATAGTTGTGTTTTCAACTTATCAAGTAAATTTAGGAGTGTACTATCCACACATCATCTTATACTTTTACGCACCATTCTCAATTTTGACCGTCGGATCGAATAAATTAAAGAAGATCAAAGAACATAAATTAACAAAACAAATATGTAAAGTAAAAATAAATGTGTAGAGAGGACCACCCTTGA